AAAAAAAAAAAAAAAAAAAAAAGGAGCCAGGTGTCGTGGCTCATATCTGTAATTCCGCACTTTGGGAGGCCAGTGCAGGAGGATTATTTGAGGCCAGAAGTTTGAGCCTGGCCAACACAGTACAGATTGTTTCTCTACAAAAATTAGCCAGGTGTCATGACAGGCAACTTAAGTTCCAGCTACTCAGGAGACGGAGGCAGGAGGATCCCTCAATACCGGGAGTGTGAGGCTGCAGGGAACTATGATGACACCACTGCACTCTAGCCCTGCCAACAGACCCTGTCTCCAAAAAAAAAAAAAAAAAAAAAAGAACGTCAGCCATGTGTTGATAAGTATTGAAACTTGGAGTCAAGTACATGGGAATTTATAATGATATTGTCTTTAGTTGTGTTTATGTCTAGAATTTTTTGAAATGAAAAGTTAAATGCAATATTCCCTAGGATTCGCAAATGTTTTCTGGCCTCCCCTGGTTTGTGAGCACAGAAAAGGCCATCTGTCCCCCAGATGGGGCGTTTTCCGCATATGGATCATTACAGAAGTTTTGAAATACACAAAAATCAAGAAACATAAAATCCATGCAGACAGAAACAAATCAAGCCCTCCCAGCAACACTCAAAAGCTGAGCAAGTTGAAACCTGCACAGGTGAGTGAGAAAGGATGCTGGTAACTGTGTTTTAGGAAGTGAAGTAGTGGATCATAACAGTCTGTTTCAAAACTTTGGTAGTGACCTACATACACCCCTAGCCACTGTAGGCAGCTTTCCTGGCTTTTTCCTGCCAACCTTCCAGTAATCTCAGTCTAAGTAAAGATTTAAGCGTTTCTGACTCCACGTGAAGCTCAGCTCCTTCCTGCAAGGCTCCTGAGCCTCCACACATCAAGGATGTATGTATCTGGGCACTTGTATCAGGTCCTGGAGATTTACCAACAGGTAAGAAGCTCCAGAATGTTTTGCAACAGTGAGATGGCTCCATTTAGTTAAATGTCTCATACCTGTTGTCTCTGATTCAGCCGAAATCCAGGTTTGCAGGGAAGCTTTTGGTGTGCAATATGAAGGTGGCCGGGGGGAGAGAAGGTGACACGAGACTTGCTGGGACAGCAACTCCTCCAAAGTTGAGGCAGGGGCTCCATGACACACAGCAGAAGCAGAAACGCCAGGCCTTGGTGAATAGTTGGGTGCAAGAGTTAAGGAGAAGGTTCCCAGGTTGGGTAAAAGGTAAAAGGTGATGTTCTTAGCTGGGATAGAAAATGAAAGCCAGGATGGAGGGACTGTGGAAATGGAAGCTAGCCATGCTGAGGTGAAGGAGCCTCTGTAGACATGGCATCTACATCCGTGATCAGACGGCCCAGTCCTGGATTACACCTGGTGTCTGCAGTCTGGGTTATGCCTGCTGTCCTGGCCAGGCAGGCAGGTGACCAGAAAGACCCTACAGGGCTGGAAAAGAAAGTGGATCAAAGGCAGTATCCTCTTCATTCACTCTCTTCTTTCAGCTGCTTCACCTTCCTACCTCAGACCCTCCATTTCTTCTTAGACATCTGTATTTTCAGCTATCTCTATATTCCTTTTCTCTTCTGCCGGATTTCTTTTTCCCACTTCCCTGGGAAAGCGTTCCTCCCCAAGATCTAAGAAGGCTTGGGTCCATCGGAGCCATCCTAACCCCCCAGGGGGAGGGTGCAAGGGAGGAGAAAGCCTGAGAGCACCTCCTCCTTCTGGTGGCCTTGGGGTGAGGAGGCTGGGGGTGGTGGCGCATCCAGTCTGGGCGGAAGATTCACACCTCCGTCTCTCCTGTGTGGCCTTGAAGCAAAGCATTTCTGTTTTTGGTGTCTCAATTGCTTCCTTTGCGACAGATGAAGATTAAATTAGTGATCTGAAACACCTCTTCCCACCGAGAGTTGTGTTTTTCTTATCTTGTGCCATTTTGCATGGCTTTCAGGACATAGGATGCCAAGGGTCAGTCATCTCAGAAGACAGGGTTTTGTATGTAGGGGTGTGTGTGGGGGTCTCCGGAGCGTCTTGAGGGTGAGGACTAGAGTCAACGAACTCTTTAAGAACAAGCAAGCCCTGGGGGGAAGGTCAGCTCGCTGGAGGCCACACTGCCAGCAGTTGGAGCCCACCGTCCCCGTCCAGCTACAGGCCGGAGTCAGGCTTGCGTCATCCCCCGATCACCTGCAGAGGGCGCCGCAGACACACCGAGGGCTGAAGGAGGTCCTCCGGCCGGGGGGCGGGCAAGGCCAATGAAGCTTCTGGGAAGGGCTTCCCAAGGGGAACCCCTGAGCCGGATCGTGAGGGGTAGGAAAAAAGTGAACATAAAATGAAGAGCAGATTAAAAGAAGGGAATGCGAGAAGGGACGGGTCCTGCAACGACCTGAAAGAGGCCTCCACCCCGGGTTCCGTCTCTGGGCCTCCAGTTCCTCATTTACAAAATGGATACAATCACATAACGCGTATCGTGCATGTGCCAGAGCTCTCTGGTTCACAGGCCCTGTGAACATCGGGTGAGAAGGCGCGGGGAACTTGGAAAGAGCTCTACAAGGGGCGCTGGGGACGCAGTGTCAGCCAGTAGGACTTGCAATCAAACCTGAGTTCCAGTCTTGGCTGCCGCCATACCTTTCTGCGGCTCAGTTTGCTCGTCAGTAAAATGGGGTTAACGAGGCTGCCTAGCCGGCTTTGAGGAGCTGGAGGATGATAAATGTCCTACAAGGGCTAAATTCGGAGCTGGAGCTTTGGGCCGCCTAGCTGCACCGGGCGCGGCTTCCAGGAGGCCGGGCACGCGGGGCTGGACACACCCCGCCCCGCAGATGCGGCCTCGTTCTGCGTTTCCTCTCCAGGCGCCCGCCCGGGGGTCGTTGGTCACTGGCGG